TTATTGTTATTATCATTATCATTTTAATTAATTTTATTTTTTATTGTTATCTTATTGCTATTATTATTATTAATATTATCATCATAATTATCATTATTCTTGTTTTTACCGTTATCATTGTTGTCATTATCGTTATTATGTTTTATTATTATTGAAACGATGATAAAGATTATAATAATGACAATACTGATAATTATTATTGATATCATTATCATTATCATTATTATTTTATTGTTATCATTATTATCATCATCATCATCATCATCATCATTATTTTATTGTTGTTATTACTATTATTGTTGTTATTACTATAATTGTTGTTGTTATTTTTTTTTATTACTATCACCATTAATGCCATTATTACTATTATTTTTATTATTGATGCTATTATAATTATCATTATGATAATAATAATAATTATTATTATTATTATTATTATTATTGTTATCAGTATTATTAGTAGTAGTGGTAGTTATTATTATTATTTTTATTATTATCATTATTTTTTATTCTTATAATTCTTTATTTTTTCCCTCTTCTTATTCTCATTTTTACTGATATCATTACTACTGTCACAACAACTGCTCCTACTGCAATTATCTTTAATATCTTTATTATAATTTCTATTGTTGTTCTTATTATAAATAGGATCAATATAATATCATCATCATCATCATCATCACCATCACCATCATCATCATCATCATCATCATCATCATCATCACCTTTTGCTCTGCCTCACACATCATCACAGCGTCTTACTTACAACAAGGTTCTTGTGATGCGATTTTATGACAATATTTTTCTTCAAGTAATGTGTCTTACGTAACGTTAGTCTTCCGGCGTTACACCAACATCGTGTGACTAAAATAACAGGGGGGGATTTTTGTTATAATGCTAATTTTATTGTTATGAAATATATTTATGATAAATAAATGTATATGTATAGATATATATTATATATATATGTATATATATATATGTGTGTGTGTGTGTGTGTGTGTGTGTGTGTGTGTATGAATATATATATATGTGTGTGTGTGTGTGTGTGTGTGTGTGTGTGTGTGTGTGTGTGTGTGTGTGTGTGTGTGTGTGTGTGTGTGTATGTGTGTGTGTGTGTATGTGTGTGTGTGCACACACGCGCACACACACACACACACACACACACACACACACGCATATATATATATATATATATATATATATATATATATATATATATGTATATTTATACATACATATATATAGTATATATTTATATATACATATATATTTATTTATTATATATATATATATATATATATATATATATATATATATTATATATATATATATATATATATATATATATATATATATATATATATATATATATATATATATGTGTGTGTGTGTGTGTGTGTGTGTGTATATATCATCAGCATTATCATTACTATCATTATTGTAGTTGTTATTATTATTATCATTATCATTATTATATTTGTTATTATCATCATCATCGTCGTCGTCATTATTATTATCATCATTATTATTTTTTATCATTATTATTATTATTATTATTATTATTATTATTATTATTATTGTTATTATTATTATTGTTATTATTATTGTTATTATTATTATTTTTACTATTGTTATTATTATTATCATTATCATTATTGTTGTTATTATGATCATTATTGTAATTATCATTATTGTTATTATTATCTTTATTACCATTCTTATATTTGTTATTGTTATCATTGTTTTATCATTATCATCAGCAATATTATTATTATCATTATCATTATCATTATTACTAGAAATATTAATTAATATCATCATTATTTTTGTTGTTATTGCTATTATTATTGTTATTATTATTATTATTATTATTATTATTATTATTATTATTATTATTACTATTATCATTATTATTATTATTATTATCATTATTATTATTATTATTATTATTTTTATTATTATTATCATTATTATTATTATCATTATTATTATTATTATTACTGTCATTAATATCAATGATACTATTAGTGTTATGGTTATTATTGCTGTTTTTTATTATTACTGTTATAAATATCATCGCTATCATCATAATCATCATCATCAGCGGCAACATCATTTTCATTATCATCAGTGTCACTATCATTTCAGTTTTTGTATTACCATCACCATGTTATTGCTATCACCTTCATTCTTAACTACTGCACCATTATCATCACTTCCACCTCCATCTCTTTTGCCGTTTTCGTGAGTGACGAAGAAGCGAAATAAATCACAGTATTTATATGCGTATTTCTGACACTTACATGGCATCGCTAATGGCACAGTGCCTCTCCATTGTTCCGGCAGGACAGCGGGCCAGCGCACCGGGCGAGAAGGGTGACGCAACCCTCAAAACCTCCTCGTTACAACCCTACTAGTTAATAAGGCTAGTGAGACAACACCATGGCATGAGGGGCCGGCCGGTATCTTGAACAGCCCCCTCCCACGCCTCCTTCCGGTAAGTGAAAAGTAGTAGTAGTAGTGGTAATAGTAGTAGTGGTAATAATAGTAGTAATAGTAGCAGTAGTAGTAATACTTCTGCTACAACTGTTACTAGATCCTTTGTCGCGATTCCATCCATGCTGCGCTCTGCCTCTCCGGAAGCCCAGCAGGCAACCCCCGTTAATTAAGGAGAAATATAACATATTCCTCAGCATATCATTTCATCTTAAATATCTATATAGGACATGATATCGTTTACATTATTCTCAAAATAACTAATGTTTGATACTCTGAGGACCAAGCGACCCAACAGAATGTTTTTGGCGACCACAGCTAGGATAAAAATGAAATGGATTTTCTAGTCCTAGCAAACCCATATTCTATGAGTGTTCGCTGTACCTGAATTTCAACTTAGATTCGTACCCATATCCGGATCACCGCCAAGAGCTAATCAGTCCGTCTACTCCATGAGCAAAGTTAATAACAATCCGTCTGTTGCTCTTCATACTGAACTATATTAATGGATACGAAATATGTTCTCATCTTCACTCTGTCTGTCTTACTTCCCACCTCTAATAACAGTGATGATAGTAATTATGCTTGATCATAACAATTATCGTATTAAGGATAGTAATGAAAATTATATAATGATTATGATTAAAAAGTATAAATAATGTTGATAACGATTTAGTGAAGCGTCTCATAATGACGATAAAAACTGATGAAAGATAATAATCACGGTGGTTAATAATGATAATCAGAAAATATAAAAAATGCACATCAACAATCATAATCAGTAATATTAAGCGCTAAAGGATAATAATTATTAATATTCAATTACTGAAAACGCTCAGACGGTTGTGAATGGTGAGATATCCCCTCCCCCCTTTAGCCTTCCCCCCCTCCCATACCCATTCACCCCCTTTCACGCCCATGTTCACGCCCATTCAAAGCGTCACCCTTAATATACTAACCGTGAAATCCAGGCGAGGGGATAATCACAAGAATTCGTTATGGTTATTATTGTTATCTGTCAATCTCCGGACCGAGGTTAGGCGAGGAAAGTGCCAAAGAGAACAATGGATTTTTTTTCTTCTTTATGTTTTATCGCGTAGGTTAAATGTCTTCGCGCTATAGTGTATTAAGAACAAAGGAACCATATACTGTAATTAAGTCATCAGTCTCTGGTGATTTATGTGTCGGTGAAGATGGTCTGTGTGGGTTGGTTGTGTGATTGTTGGTTTTACTCCTTTCTTGTTTGGTTGTCTTTGTTTGTTTGCCTGTTTCTGTGTTCTTTTTATCTATTTTACTCTGTTTTTCAGCGTTTCTCTTTCTTTCTCTTTCTGTTTATCTGTCTGTTTCTCTCTCTGTCATCGCCGCTAATGACCTGCGCTGTTGACGTGGCAGATAATTCTAAATAAACAATCTCTCTTTCGTTCCTTCTCCCCCTCCCTCCCTTCTTCTCTCTCTCTCTCTCTCGCTCTCGCTCTCTCTCTCTCTCTCTCTCTCTCTCTCTCTCTCTCTCTCTCTCTCTCTCTCTCTCTCTCTCTCTCTCTCTCTTCCCCTCTCTCTCTTCCCCCCTCTCTCTTCCCCCCTCCCTCTCCTCTCCCTCCCTCCCCTTCGCTTACGCATTGGTACCCACATAATTCCTACATTACTTTAAAAAACTAGTTAATAAAAAAAGCGAAGATGATAAAAAAAAAAAAAATCAAGAATGCAGCCCACACCACAAAAGACCGAAGTGATGGACCACAACATCCGTTCCCCTGGGAGAGAGACGGGGAGGGGGGAGGGGGGGAAGGGGAGACAGAGGAGAGGAGGGAAAGGGGGAGAAAGAGGGAGGGGAGAGGGGTGAGGATAGAGGGAGAAAGAAAAGATGGGGGGGGGAGGGAAAGGGATAAGGAAGGAAAAGGGAGAAATAAGCTGGGGAAGAGGGATGGAAAGGATAAATGGGGAGGGAGAGATGGGGAAGGGATAAGGAAGGAGGGAGAGAGAAAGGAAGGGGGAGAAACGGAGGGCAAGAGGGGAGAAGGATGGGGGTAGTGGGATTAGGGGGGATTTTACCCCAGGGGTCATCCGACTGGAGGAACTAGAGAGGGGTGGTGGTGGGGGGGGGGGGTGGTCGTTACCCTAAGGGTCGCGGCTACAGACCTTTCGGAGGGGGGGGGGGGGCAGAGGTACACAGTGTTTATGTTGATACCGCAATACCAAATTGCAAACACATATACACACACATATGACTCCCCCCACTCCACATAATCACACACACACGCGCGCGAGCGCGCATAAACACACAAACATACACACACACACACGTACAAACACACGCACACACAAATAAACAAAAACAAATGTACACAAAAAATGTTTATTTGTATCTATGTGCATTTCTGAATCCCTTAATGTACACATGTATGTATGTGTGTGTGTGTGTGTGCGATATGGAATGGAAAATTAAGCCCTAATAACGGTAGTAAATTAAGTTTCTTAATGATGCCAATAATTAACCTCTCTTG